GAAACAGCCTCCCCAAGACCCATCCATAATCTACGGCTGAAATCAAGACCTTGCTCAAGAGGGCACAGCTGGAGTGGGCGGGCCCTGCTGGAAATCTTGCCTTTCTGGCAAGATCCAGAAACCCACATTCCAGACCTTACTGGAAACACATCCTCTGAGATGCCAGGGAAAGCTGTTTAGGAAGATGTCTCATCAGGGGCGCTCAACTCCAAAACCAGTTAAGGAGGATCGTGGAGGAAGGTGCTGGCTGCTATGTGCTACTGATTTTCACCTGTGCTGTAGGAACCTGCTGGGCTTCCACACCAGAACCAGAAACATCACCTCCTATGTCTTTCCAGTCCCCTCTATTGTAAAAGCTTTGGTACCAGGGGCAAAGGAAACTATTTTAAGGGCCCAGATCCATATTCACAGAACAGGCAAAGAGGATGGATACATTTGGAGCTGAGAGGCGATAAATCAAAACGAGCCACACTTACTGCTAAATTCCCTTATCCTGGCACATATTAGGTGTTCAATAAATATTTGATGGCAGAATAAATTATTTAGAGAATATAAGTGGAAACAATATGCTTGCTTTGCATATCACTTTAAGATTGAAAGCCCCTGGCTTAGCTTCTAACCTGAAAGCTGCTTCTGAACCTCAACCCCACCCCGACTCCCCAACTGTGAAGTAGGGATAAGACAAGCCCTCAAGTGATGTCAATAACTTGACTCAACAGTTTGGGAGAACTGCAATGACAGAAGCACAGCCGGAGAGCAGAGGAGAAACTCTGTGTTGGGACCTAGGCTGGGCTATGGGTTGCTTCACTTGGCATCTTTCTGAGACATCCCTGTGAATTATGTAGATCTGCAACATGGTCAAAATGTGAAACATATCCAAGTGATGCATTTTAAAATTACACTCAATAAAAAATAAACATCTTTATTTCTCCAGCCAGTATTCCATTGACACAAACTGTCAGAAGAGATTGGGACAAAGGTCCCTAATACAAGTATTTGATACTTCCAAACAGAGCATAGTTTCCCCTTTGTCCAGTGAAAATGGCTTTTCAGGTTCTCTTATCAGGATTCTCATTCCCTGTCCTGGGAAATAACTGCACAGAATTTCCATAAATATGGCCTAAATGATGCCGAATCTTTCTGTATTGACACAGCATGGCTTTCAGTCACTAATGCCATTAAAAAATATTTACTGACCACCAACTATGTGTCAGACATCATTCTAGGCATTTGGAGTGACGCTGTGAATATAACCAGGTCTCTGTTCTCATGGAACTTGCTAAGATTCTGGCCAGAACTTCCTACAGAGGCACTATGGGCAATTTAACAAACTACTGAAAAACTCCAGTGGGGTGGGAGTAAATAGCCAACCCTAGAATAATTGCTGATGTTCTTAGAAGATTCACTGTCCCAGTGTAGAAACCGTTATCACCCAAGTCTTTTAATTTTTGGTTTTTGTGTTGTTTTTCAGTCGCTAAGTCCTGTCTGATTCTCTGCAACCCCATAGATTGCAGCACGCCAGGCTTCCTTCACTATCTCTCAGAGTCTGCTCAAACTCATGTCCATTGAGTCGATGATGCCATCCGACCGTCTCATCCTGTGTCACCCCCTTCTCCTCCTGCCCTCAATCTTTCACAGCATCAGAGTCTTTTCCAGTCAGTTGGCTCTGCCCATCAGGTGGCCAAAATATTGGAGCTTCAGCTTCAGCATAAGTCCTCCCAATGAATATTCAGTGTTGATTTCCTTTAGGATTGACTGGTTTGGTTCTTGGGAATGTTTCAAAATAGTGCAGTCCAATATGTGCGCAACATAAAGTAAGAAGGAAATGGCAACCCATGCCAGTTCTTTCCTGGAGAATTCCATGGACAGAGGAGCCTGGCAGGCTACAGTCTATGGGGTTGCAAGAGTCGGACACGACTGAGAGACTAAACACACACATATTGAGTTATTTTACTTTTTTCTTTTTTTTTGCTCACTCTTCAAAGCTCCTTAAAGTGTAAGTGTAGATGCAGCACATCTCATTTTGGACTGGCCACATTTTAAGTACCCAAAAGTCACCTGTGTTTGGGTACTGGACAGAGGAAATTCAGAAAAGGCCCGTGGAGTCCTCCATGTTCTTAATTTGGGGAGGGGGAAGATACTTGCTGAATCAAAACATTCTGTGAAGTCTAATCGCAGGATTTTAGTTAAAAAAAAAAATAGAGGAAGGTGAAGACCACCATAGACTTCCTTAAAACTAGTCCTTTAAAGTGCCCAGCGCAGAGAGAGGCTCATAGAACGTGCTAGGTTGGACAGTAACTAGTACATTTATTGGATTCGTCCACTGAGGCAAGGGATACTATTAAGAAGAATTCTTCATGAATGCTGAGCCGTCTCGGTCAATGTCTCAAATTATAGGAGGGAAAGAACACTCAAAAATACACATCCAAAACTCAGACCTTTTAAGTTAGACACACGCACCCCGCCCCCGCTTGATTTTATCTGAATTCCTCCGCCCCCCTCTCAAAGTTGTAGGCTAGCTAGGAAAGATTGAAAGCCTTACGGCTTCCCCTTAACCCAGGGAGCTACCCCTCGCTGGACGAGGACTAGCGGTGGAAAACCTGCCGGTCCCAGGCTGTCCCTTATTTCCACCGAGTCCACTCTTACTCCTTAGCTTCTACCATAGGGATGCCCTCCGCCAAGCTCCAACCCCCGGACACGCCCCCACCTTTCCAGCCCTGGTCCCCAACCGTGGCCGACCCGCCACCTCTCGCTTAGCTTCCTGCCCGTTTCAACCGCGACAAGCTCGACTTGCTCTTCCAAAAAAAAAAAAAAAAAAATCGGGAAAATGAGGGGCAGTCTTCTTCCTGATGATCTGGGAGAGGGAGCATCTTGGGGCGTGAAGGGCCGTTTTCTTCCCTGTGGCGGGGACCAGCATCTAGATGACACTATTTTTCCCGCTGACCAAATGATAGTGTGCGGAGTGCAGGTGGCTCTCTCGACAAGGTTTCTCTGGGAATCGGGCGACCCCTGCCCACCTCGGGCTTCCAGTCCCACCCCGAAACTCCACGCTGACGCCCCCGCGACCCCCAGTCTGAGCGTCCTGGGGAGCTTCCTTGCAGAGTTGCTTGGGGAAGGCGGCCCCACTTCGGGGTTAAACGGCAATCACAGCCCGCTCGGGACTCGGAGGGCAACCCCCACCCCCCTCCTCCCGCGTCCCCGCCCCCCACCCAGGTCAGCGTCTTGCAGCTCAGTCTCGGGCTCTGAACAAGAACAGGGGCCCGAATCCGCGTTCACACGGAAAATTATGCCGGCTCCAGCGGCGCGTAAAATTGATGTGAACCGAACGAAGTGGGATCGGCGTGATCCTCCCTCTCTTGTCTCAACAGGGGTTCCGGAGCGTTACACAAGGCCGAGCTTGTCTCTTTAAGGAGACACTGGACCCTAATTAGTCCGCATTCCTGGCGCGGACAGGAGCAAGGGGCCGAGGATGTTTGGGTTGGTGGGGGGTGGGAAGGAAGACGAGGCTCGGAAGATCTTCTGACTAACTTCCAGTCTTACCGCCCCCTGTACCCTCTTTATTTTGCCGCCACCACCGCCACCAACATCCAGTTCTGAAGATGCAGCCAGGGCAGCAGCAGCAGCAACCACCGCTGCTCCCAGGCCCACGTTACTTTGATTGACAGCCGAACAAATGTTTCCCCGGTTCGAACGCTCGCGCTAAGGAACGTCAGCCAAGGCTAAGCTCCGCCTTGGGCGTGCCATCTCCGCCCCGCCTCCGCTCACCCTATTTCGTTGCATTCATTGGTCCGAGCCACGGACGACGCCCGGGCCCCACGTGGGTTCCAGCCCGGCCGGCTCCTCCCCTCTAGCTCGCCATTTGTCAGCAGTGAAATGATGGGCAGTAACACAGAACGGCGATTAATGTTCAGCCACCTCTGATTGGTTGTTGGAGACGCCTACCGCGCCGGGGGTGGGCGGGACGCTTGGAGAGCCCCCTAAAGTGGTCGCGTGGCCGGCCGGTGATTGTAGTCAATTTGGCTGAATCCTCACCTACCGTCGCTGGAGGCGGACTACATCTCCCGGGATGCTCCGCGGTCCCTCCAAGGACGGTTGTGAATATGTATCAGAATGTTAATGATTAGCGGCTGCTAAATTTGGTCAAAGAAGTCACCTACACAGAGTGTGTTGTTAGAGCTGTTCTGAGCGGGTGTTTCAGCTGTTGGCTGCTTTCTTCCCCCTCTCACACACTTGTATATTATTTTGAGGTGCTGTTCGCAGAGTTTGAAAGGAGAGAGAATTTTTTAAAAAAAGCCGCAAGCGTTTCACTCTTTATTTTTATAATCCCCTTCAATTTGGGGTTAAAAAAAAAGACAAGAAAACAGGAAGGAAGAAAAATAAGGAAATGAGATGTGGTAAAAGAAGCTAAAAGGTGCCTTTTAAAAGATCGTTGCTGTGAGGTGAAAAAAATCTCCAGAGAAACCAAAAGCACCGCCGAGACCTCTTCCGAACCAAAGGAGTTTGTGTTTGCTTTTAGGAAAGAAGAGAGAGATCATTCATTCGGAGGAATAACAACCAATTAAAAGACAAATAAAAAAAGTTTGGAGTGGGACGCCGAGCGAGCCAGCGAGCGAGCGGGCGGCGCTGCCGGCGGGCGCTGGGGCGCGGAGCTCGCACTTTGCCGTCCCGGGTGAGCGGCGCGGCCGCGGCGCCGGGCTCGGCGGGCGCGCCTCAGCGGAGCGAACGTCGGAGCGTTGCCGCGGGAGACGCGCGCCGGACAATGCCCGCGGCGGGCCAGTGACGCCCGCGGGGAATGCGGAGCGGTTCAGCCGCCCGCACCCAGGCGCCGCCGCCGCGCGTTCTTGCTGCCCGCGTCACGCGAGACCCAGCGGGGTCCGGGGCCGTCCGAGCCGCCTCTCGGACCCGGCCGGCCGCCGCCGCCGCCGCCGCCTCCTCCTCGGGGCCATTAAAGCCAATGAGCCGCGCACCTCTGCCCAGCGCAGCCAACTAAATCGGTTTGGATGATTCGCGACCTGAGCAAGATGTACCCGCAGACCAGACACCCGGTGAGTGCGGGCGGTGGGGGCGCGGGCTTGCCGGGTGCCGGGGGATTCCCCGCGTCGCCCCCTGCGCGCTGAGTTGTGTCTTTGGCCTGAGGGGCGTGGAGGGCGGCCCAAACCCCGCACGCAGCTCGAGAGTCGCCCTCCTCCCCCCGCCCCTGCTCTCCCTGGGCGCGGGGGCACTTTCGGAGAGGGGGTGCGGAGAAGCAATTGAGTTGTAGCCATTTTCTTATTGTTGTCTTTGAAGACCCTGGAAGCCGCGCGGAGCTGTTCGCCGTCCCCGCGTCGCGACTCCTGGAGGAGGGGTGGCGAGCGATGGAGGAGGCGCGACTCCGCGCCGGGGCGGGGAGGGCGCCCTCCGCGGCGGCGCGGCGTGTCCGGCGGCGGCTCGGGAGTGCGGGGCGCCGGCCCCTCGCGCCGCGGGCCCCGGGGATCAGCGAGCCAGCCGACGGACCGACCGGGAGAGTGGCTGCCGCGTGCCCCCTCCCGCGACTTGACCGCGGCCCGACGCCATGGCGCGCGTCCCCCCGACGGGCCAGTTTCGATTCCGGGTGGGGAGGCTGTGGGCGCGGTGCGCCGGCCCCGGGGCCCCAGCCGTTGACGTGGGAAGGGAGCGGGGTCTCGAACCCGCGGGGTCCCGGGCTGGCGCGAGAACGGGGGGCCCCGGAGCCAGCCTCGGCCCGGCTGTGTGGCCAGGGGAGGGGGCGGGAGGAGAGTTTTCCTGGTTCTTTGCCTGCGATGACACCCCCCCCCCCTCCCGCCAGTGCCGCGTGGTGTTTTCTCCATCTCTCTTTCTCGCTTCTGCCTTGGGCTAATTAAATATTTTATTGTTGTTCTTTAGGCACCGCATCAGCCTGCTCAACCCTTTAAATTTACAATTTCCGAGTCCTGTGATCGGATTAAGGAAGAGTTTCAGTTCTTACAGGCTCAGTACCACAGGTAAAGATATTGACTTTAGCTGATCCTTCTGTTTGCTTAGCTCTTGTCTTCCCCCAACATACACCCTCCCCCCGTGTTTTTTTTTCCGCCACCACAAAGGTATTACCATGTTTCCTTGTGGGCAGAAAGGGCACGTCAAGGCCTCTTTTCCTTAGGCAGGTGTAAAGAAATGAAGCGTTTCCTCCTTTTCCCGTAAATTAAAAAAAAAAAAAGCCCGAACAATCGAAACTGGGGACTCTTGGAAAACGCTGAGGCCAAACTTTCAATATTGATTTATTGGGGCCAGGCGAATGGACGGTTGGGAACATTCTGGGGCCTTTTGACTTTCTTGGTCATTTATTATTCCGGGCTTGATTCCTTCTTTCTGCCATTCCACTGAAACCGAGAGCCCAGAGCCTTAGGAAGTCGCCAAGTAGGCGATTTCATTACTTTTATGCTGAAAAGATGTTTTCCTCTGAAGAGACAATCATTAGATCTTACAGTACCTTTGAAATATTTTTCTTTCGCTGGATTTTTAATGGCTTGTATTTCTTATTTCATAAATTACGGAACCAAAACAAGCCACTGAACCTGATCCATGCCTTGCCCCTGGGTGGTGGTATTCAACTTGTCTCTGTTTTGGAGGGAAAAAATAAGACATCATTCATAAGACATGGTTGATTCATATTTTCATTAATCTTTTTGTGGAACATTAAAGAAAAAACTCCCTTGTGACATTTTTAGGGGACTTACTCTTGCTTGGAGATGTAGGCATTATTGATGTTTATTTCCTCCTTCATGTTGTATTTAGTGAATTTAGTGAATATTCATTTCTGAATGAGATTCTGGAGTTAATTGGCTAGAGGGTTTTTTCTTAAGCAAAACCCCCCACATTTGATCCTTGTTGAAAGGACAAGCCCGGACTGGTTCCACTCACCCTTTTCTCTCCTGCCTGTTTTTCAGTAATGAGGGTGGCACTTAAGATAGTTGATATGGTATTTTGTAGGTGATGATTTAGAGGCGGGAATGTGTATTTGAAGGATGTAAGTCAAGATCTGGGTTGTACTTAGATTTCCTTATTTCTTGAACAGCCTGAAGCTAGAATGTGAGAAACTCGCCAGTGAGAAGACAGAGATGCAGCGGCATTATGTGATGGTAAGAAAACTGTGTTGCAGATTCAGAGTACCTATTAGTTTCGGGTACCAAAAGCTAGAAATACGTTCAGATTGCTGGAGGCTGCAGGGTTAGAGGATAGTTGCTGTGCAGTGCAGTTGAAGTTGTGGGAATGTGACCATTAGCAACCTGTAATTCGAGGATGTTATAACTTGCCTCTGACAACCAGCTTTGATTTGAATTTTCGAAAAGTTTAGTTGCACAGGGTATAATTTTCTGTGCTTTGTTTTTACAGATTAAAAAAAAACCTCATTTACATTTCGTTTAGAGTCATAGGCAAAATGTTTTTGTGTTAGTGGTTTTCTTTGTTGTTTATTGCTCTTGCTTCAAACAGCTTTTAACCAGGGAATTTTTCAGTAAACTGTTAGTTTTAAATGTTTTAAAATGTTTTATTTCTTTTAAACAATGGTGAATAAGAAAAGACACTAGACATCTTTTCAGATTTTCCCTCCCCATTCTTTCTCTACATTGTATATTCCTAGTGTGTGTGTATTTGCGTGTGTTTTGTGGGTTTTCAGTTTCCGTACTGTTGAACTGTGGATTGTTGTAGCCTCTGTATAACCGATTCGTTCTGCCAGAATTTCTTTAATGCCAGTTATACTACATGTTTAAAACAATCAGATCTGCTCTTTCAGAAGTATTACAAGTGTATTTTTACGCTTGTTCATAAAGGCTCTAGAGTAACTCATTCATTTCCTATCAAGCCTTTTTCCTTTGAATGTATGAACATGAGTAGTGTCCTTAAAATGAGAAACGAAACTCTGAAGTAGCATCACCTTTTCAAATAGTTCGTGTCAAAGCCTCTGCATTTGTATGAGGTGTGTTGTTTTTGTTATTAACTTGCCCGCTGTGCCTAGGAATTAGAGTCCATAGAGTACCACATTTTCATCAGACCTTTGTGAGTCATCTGCTTGTGATGTATAAAGATCATTGGAGGTGTTAAGAATACTGTGTTTGAGCTTGTTTTTCTTACTTTTGTGAGTTATTCTCTTAGATTCTGTGTCTTAAGGTGGCTTTTAGTTTACTAAGCTGAAGATACTCATAGAATGTTCTACCTGATGTACCACCATTGGAAGGATGGATATTTTGGTTTAGGCAAGGCTTTTATGTTTACTTGGGGACATTTTGAACAAACTAGGAAGCTTGTTTGATGAAAGGCTCAAAATTAATTTCTTTTCCTTCTTTGACAGTATTATGAGATGTCCTATGGGTTGAATATAGAAATGCACAAGCAGGTAAGCTATTATTTCTTTGTATGTGTTTTAATGACAGTAATACTGTGCACTTTAAAAAGGAAGTTGTATGTTTTGCAGTTTGATTCTGTATGTTTTTGTGGCCACCTGTATTTTAAAAGTCCATGTACTGGAGAGAATGCTCTTTATTCAGGTGTGGTTCCTCCTCTGTTAAGCATATTATCTTCATTTTAATCATTTAACAGTGTAATTTAAGGTGTCTGAATGCATATTAAACTTTGTACACTTTCAAAAGCAGGGTGCTGAAATTTTAAAATGTTTTCTTTTTGTTTTGAAAGAATTAATTTATGTATTTTGAACATTGCACACTTGCCTAATGAAAGCTTTTCTTGGAAAATATTAAAATGTAAAATTGTAAATTCTCTGGAGTTTTCTTTGGGTTGGTGTGAAAGAATGGATAGAGGGTGAGCTGGGAGGATCAAAATGAAATCTGTGGCACTACAAAAGAAACTGATGTAAATTCCTTGTACTGGCCCCCCAGAGACAACTTAGTTGGGTCTTACCAGGACTATAACTGTTTCTGCCAAAATTTGCACAGACTACATGAACCTGATAGGAGGATGTGATAAGGTTCAACCCTGGGTCTTGAAATCTAACAATTAGTTCTGCCAGAAAAACAGAAAGAGGGAAGAAAAAAAAGGTTAGTCCGAAAGTGTTGAGAGGTATGACTGAACCAGACTTTTTTTGCAAGAGACTGAATAAAATGGCTTGGTTTAAGTTTCCTAGAAAGAAAAATAGCATATATGTATAAATACTGTTTGGCAATAATAATATTAAGAGGCATTTGTTTTAAGTGATCTCCTAGTGAAAGTGCTTCAGATCTGTGTCATCAGCCATTTCGGAATAGGTGTGTATGTGTTTACCTGCTGGAAAAAGATGAGGGAAAAACAGTGCTTTTCTTCTCTTATATTCATGGATTTCATTACCTTCTAAGATTAAAAAATGTAAAATGATCACATACTGTTAAGCTCTACTATGTATGGACTCCTTTTTCAATATGGTTAATTATTACATACTCAAAACATACTCACATCTTTAAAAGATGACTGTTAGACAATAAAAGCAGTCGGATAGCATTTGAAAACAAAAAAGTTGGGGGAAAAAATTGTCTTTACATTGATTATTTCAGATACTTTTTTTTTTACTTCATGTGCTATTTGGTTATGTCAATATTAGCATTATAGTATAGTTTGTTGCATATTAAAATTCTTTATTATTTTAGCATCCTTGCCATGTCTGTTCAGATAAGTCATGTAAATAACTCCTGCTTAAACAAAATCCATAAAACTTATGCTTAGGTTAGCTTGAAGCCCCTTAGCTGTACCTTACATAAATAATTCACATGAAAGATACTGTTTGTTAATTATGCTCAATACATGATGTCACTTTAGATCTGGATCTTGTGCATGTCCTCCCCGCCCCCCCCCCCCCCCTTTTTTTGGTCCTCATCCACCACCCAGTACTAATTAGTGTCTTTTTAAAGATTGGACCAGGTGATTAATATCCCTTTATTTCTCCTCCTGTATCTTATTACCACTTAGTTTCCAGATCTCTTTATACTGTTTACAATTCTGAGAGGCACAGAGCTTGTATTTGGCCGTATGTATTTCTTTTAGGGGGCAGGAGGTGCTCTATAAGATCCCTTAATTTTGCACATTTTATACTTCTGTAATTCTGTCATCTTCTTGTCCAGCTGGCCTCAAATGCCATCCATTTAAAATTGAGAATGGACTACATTTTCCCTTTTTTTTCTCTTGCTTTTAAATTCAATCATATCAAGAATCCTGAGGGCAGTTTATCACATTATGAAATACAGACAGCCCTGCAAACCACCTACTTATTATATTTTCTTTCTTTCCCCCCTTAAGCACAGAGGCATATCTGTCTTTATTTGTTTTCCTAGGCAGACAGCCTTGGTTCCTCTTGGCCTCTCTTCCAGATGCACTCGCTGGATACCCTCGTAATGGAAAGCAGCAATAAGGCAGGGAAGTTGCCCTGCGGCATAATTGGGCCTAGTTCTCAAGATCGGGTTAGGCTTATTCACTTATTAGATTTATGTCTCTGAAGGGTTCAAGAGGAGGAGTCCCTGGAGTCCCTGGAAGTACCCCAGTAATTGGTGGCCCTGAGATTTGAAACCTTTGTGTATTTTGTGGTTAATGCTCCTGTTCTTGGCTGCTGCCAGCCACATAGTATTTATTTTAGAGAAATTTTTCTCTGGAACAGAAAATGATGGCCGTGCTGGAGTCATGCTCTGTGACTTAGCAAATTGATAAAAGGATAAAAGCCCAGAGCAGTGACAAGCAGGGTGGGGGGTCCAGTATTTATGGTCTCTCCCCTTTCTGTATGATGTTCATCCTCAGTCACCCTGTGCTGATTCTGATGGAGGACTGTAAAGTGAAACCTATGGGGAATTTGTCATTCTGAAATGAAAGCTAATGTAATTAGTACCAATTAAAGTACATTTAGTAAATTGGATTTAATCTTAATTAAGCCTGCATAATGTTGCCAATTTTTAACAATTATGTTTGAGAACATAATTAATTTAAATTTTGGTAACTGAGTAAATAGCATTAGTCTGGTAGAATTAGTTAAATTTTTTTTTTTTTTTTAAAGGGGAACTCAGTGACATGACATGGAATTAGAGCGTAAAATATGAATCTAATTTCTGGTAATCTTTAGTAGGATCAATAGAGCTGAAGTTGGGAGAAAACCCAAAAAAGTTAGAGCGGAGTGTTCTAGGCTATAAAGTGAATTAATGTTTTGCCACTGTCTTTAAGTTCTAGCATGAAAGTGAAGAAGATAAGTGGGACATGGTTGGAAATGGCACATGTTTTGTTGTGATTTCTTCATAATGGGATTTTTTAAAATGAAAGAACGTTGGCCTTCATTCCCTAAGGATTTCCCTCAGTTGGGTCTTTTTGTTTTTTTTGTTTTGAATGGGACAGGTGGTGGCCAGTGGTTTAGTTGTTACTTTTTTTGTCCCCTCCTGCTGATTGTTCCTTATACATACAGAGTGGCTTCTAAATGGGCCAGTGACCGTGGGCAGAACAGGGTGGTGCGTTCTGTTGATAACATTGCTAAATGCTGCTTGTTGCCATCCTTCACCTGTAACGCTGTAATTAAAGAAGAGGCCCTGATTTAATCTGACAGCAGGCAGTTACCACTTTAAAAAGTGAATATTGGATGTAGACTAGGGACAATGGATATGTAAATTCGACCTGTAGGAACTGTAAATGGAGATGAACATACTACATTTTGAGAACATCTATGATTTTCTCATAGTTAATAGTCTGCACCTGCCAATCTCTTTGCATTTAAAAAATCAGCTTAGTATTTGAATTTTAGAAATCGGAAAATATTAGAAGTCTGCAACACTTAGAACTTGCATTCTTATATACTACACACGTATATGTACATGTCTCTGTCTTTGTATGTGAATATATACATGTTTTGGAGAAGGAAATGGTGACTCACTCCAGTATTCTTGCATGGAAAATTCCATAGACAGAGAAGCCTGGTGGGCTACGTCCATGGGGGTCACAAAGAGTCGGCCGCAACTGAGTAACTGAGCACCCACACGTGTTTAGGTTGCACATATATGTGTATATATACAGTTGTTATTTTTTTCCAATCAGAGCAAGCAAACTCCTGTTTCACTATAAGCCATGTAAATTTTATTACAAGACTTGGGCCACAACCATTTGAGTGCTGCTAAAATATTAATTGAATAGAAATGAAAGGGCCTTGCCAACTGATAGGATATCATAATCATAGCCTCTCTGGTCGATGGTAAATGATGATAAATGACATTAGGAACCTTTTAGCAAATTGTAATAACTACAAGGAGGGAAGCAGTATGGATTTGCATTATATCTGATACCCTCTAGTACCAAGTGGATTGCCAATACTGCTTGTTTAGCATTTTCTAAGGGCAATAGGATATTGATTTCTGACTTACAAGGAACAGCTCTATTTTCACCATTGAAAAGTATTGCAGGTTGTTAAGAAGAAATTGACTTGAAGAGGCCGACTGCTGCCCATCATGGAGCAAATAAAGCAAAACTGCCGAAGCATGGTGGAGCAGCGAGACGGGCCCTCAGCAATTTGTTGCTATTAATTTACCATGCTCGACAGCAAATCAATCGGCATCTACTTCATCTGCTGGAGAAAATGCTGTCCAGGGCAGATAAAAGGCTCGGCATGGTACAGAGAATAGACTGGATTGGCCAAAAGGAGGCTGCAGTTAATGTGTAAATAAGTGAAATCAAGGCCACAGTTGCAGAGGAAGCTGTTGTTAATTAGGTTGGTGCTTTTTCGTGAACTATTTTAGAAAGCAGCCGAGGATTTGGAGAGTAAAAAGAGATTTATTGAGGTTGAAGTAATACACGACTAGCCTGGCATTCCAGCCTTGAGTGTACTTGATTCTAGGGCGCAGTAAATTTATCTGGGGACAGTGCTTGCAGTGGAAGCAAGCACTTTGTTTAAAGTTCTGTTTAGACCAGGTTTCCCATAAGGAAACTTTATTTGTGGAGCTTTACTAATTTCTTGTAGGTGTCTTGTCTTAGACTGTATATGCTTGGATTGGAGTAGACGCAGGAGTAGGCAAAAATGTGGCTGTTATCTTCTTACGCAGTGACAGTTTTTCAGGAATCAATGTGATTGAACTCTTGTGTAATAATGAAAGGGAATTATCGAAGATGGAATGTTTCAGCACAAAGTAACTTAATAAACCAGTGAAAATTTTGCCGCCAGAACTTTCTTTTGCTGTATAAACCTTAGGAAATAATAATCTAGAGGGGCTGAACAGTGGTGGACACTGCCGGACCAGAAATTCTCAAAGAGCGATTACAAGTGAAATTTCGATAATTGTGTGAAAAGCTCCAGATATAATTAGGAGAGCATGGAGGGGAGGAGGTTTGTGTTTTTGTTTTTCATTAAAGGTTTAAAGCCACCTCTTCTAATTTATGATTACTTATCCTTCA